TAGATGAGGTTGAAAAAATTCCCGGGAGGGTCAAGAAAAAGCTTTTACGGGGGGGGGGGGGGGGGGGGNNGCGGACTCTAGGGGGTGAGTGAAAAGATGAGGGGTTTCAAAAAAACTCTATAGGGAGACGGCCCCAGATTCTGGTAGTGCGTTTTTTGCTCCATGCGCGCCACACACTTTTTGCATGTTGTCTTCCCAGGCTTTACTTTGAAGCCTCACAGGGTTTAGGGTTTAGGGTTCTCTAGCATGTTATATGGGGTTTATATAAGGCGCTGCACGAAGAAATCGTCTTCGGAGTACATACATCTGTGTCTTGTAGCAGATGTGGACCCTATCAAAGCTCAGACACCAGTGCAGAATACGGATCTGTGCAGAAAGCAGCTTCCATTAAGCTTCCATTAAGGGCTTCCAAGTGTCCTTCATAATATAATCATAATAAGGACCCCCGCCCAAAAAAAAAAGTATAGGTAATTATTTGGGCCCCTATATTAGGGTACCTAACCCTGAAGCCCTACAGTCCCTGAGCCCGAAGGCTGGAGCCAAAACCCCAAAGCCCTAAACCCTGAAAGCTTGAAACATAAATTCCACACCCCCTGAGCCCTTAGCCCATAAATCCTAAAAAAAGAGTCCCGATCCCAAAGCTCGAAACGCCAAGATCCCCAAACCCCGAGTCCTTAGGTCCCAAGCCCTCATCCCTCCCCACCCAAATCCCTCAGCTCCTCACCCACCAAAACCCGGTACCTCTCAGTCCCAAACCTTAAGCCTAAAGTCCTAAACCCTAAACCCTTCAAACGCCCCGTAAACCTTCAACCCTAAACCCTATTCATTCAACCTCAACCTCCCAACCCCCACCCTGTCAAAAACAAGGAGTAGGATTGGAGCCTTCGTAACAGGCCATAACCCTTGATACCGTAGGGTATCGGATTCCAGTCCCTGAAGCCTAAACCCTGCAAGCCCACAGATCCTATCTAACCCTTAAGCCATAGAGCCCCAAGCCCGAACTTATCTAATTGACCCCTAAACCCAAACCCTGAAGCCCAAAAACAACCCTAAACTCTAAACCCCCCGAAACCCAAAAACCACCGAAGCCGCAAAAACCTCCCAAAGCAGCGCCTAGGCCCCAAATTCCGGGGCAAGTCTTCTGGTTGCCGCGGCGAGCCTGTGGCACAAAAACAGCAGACTCAGAGCTTGTAATATATAGGGGCCTTAATAGAATTAGGCTTTTGGGTCCCATTATACCCTGAGGAATAATGTAGGTAACTATTTAGGCTTCTAGAATTAGGTTTCAATGCCTAAGTACTCTTTTCCCTGGGGCTCCAAATAGCCCAATGTAGGTACTATTTACAGACTTTAGACCCCAAAGTAGGTACGATTTGTATACTTGGAGCCCTAGGGCATAGGGGCCTTAATAGAATTAGGCTTTTGGGTCCCATTATACTATAATTATGATAATTATGGGCCTTAATAGAATTAGGTTTTTGGGTCCCATTATACTGTAATTATGATAAGGAACCCTGAGGAATAGTGTAGGTAACTATTTAGGCTTCTACATTAGTTAAGAAACGGTTTAGCGTTTATAGGGCTTAGAGCCTGTCAGTCAGAACAGCGCTTTTTTAAAGGGCTCCTTCAAGGGGTTCTATAGTAAAGAGCGTTTACATACATGTTCATGTAGTTCGAGTTGAACGAGGGGGCTGCATAGCTGGTTGGAAGAGGGTCGCCTCCTTTTGGGTGCCAGTCGTCTTCACTGTGGTTCCTTTGTTCTGGCTACCTCGTCTCGTATCACAGGAGTTGGGCCATAAATATCGCTTAACAAAACAAGGGAACTACAATAGAAACCCTAGGTATGGAATGGACCCTAAACTCCAAACCCAAAGCCATGAACCCTAAACCGCAACAAACCCTGGACCCCAAACCCTAAACTCCATGCGCCCCAAACCCTAAACCCAACACCCAACCCTTTTCTTTGAGGTTACGGTTTCGGATTGTGGTTACGGTTTCGGATTGTGAGATTGGGGTTGTAGGTTTGAGTTGTGTTTCGGTGTCTGCTTCCGCGACCGTAACAAAACGGTGAGTTAAGATGCTGCTAATCATAAGAGAGAGAGAGAGAGAGATCTAAAGACAGCTTCTAGTGATCATAGCAATAGGAGTTTAGGGTTTCGGGATGTTTCGGGTGTATGGGTCAAGTACTGCCAGTAAATTATTATGTATATCATCACAACCCGCACTCTGAACCCTATACCCACAAAAAACCAGACCGCTGCTTTCCATGAGCCCCTAGGACCCGAAATGACACCACTATGTGGGGGTTTCCCAAAATAAGGGACCCTAATATAGTACACTAAATAGTAGGATCCTTATTGTAGGGACCCCAAAATAAGGTACCCCTACTTTTCGGAAACTCCTATGTCGGTCATTCCGCATTGGGTTTACCACAAAACGAGCTCAATGCCTAAGTACTCTTTTCCCTGGGGCTCCAAATAGCCCAATGTAGGTACTATTTACAGACTTTATACCCCAAAGTAGGTACGATTTGTATACTTAGAGCCCTAGGGTTTGGGTTTATGTCACGCCCCTAAACCCTAAACCCTAAACCCTAAACCCCAAACTCTAAACCCTAAAGTGAAGGCGGCTTCTGAGGCGCTGAGGACTGCCGGCCTGCAGAAACTATACGGTATCCTAGCACGAATCCTCCTGTATAAGGAACTCATAATAAGAAGGAAACCTAAAAAAGCCTAGGTGACTTTTCGGGGGGTTCAAGGTAAGGACCCTAAACCCTAAACCCTAAACCCCAAAGCCTAAACCCTAAACCCTAAAGCCTAAAGCCTAAACCCTAAACCCTGAAGCCTAAACCCTAAACCCTACAGCCTAAACCCTAAACCCTAAACCCTAAACCCTACAGCCTAAACCCTAGACCCGGCCGTAGGGGGTTTATGGATCTGGGGCTTCAGGGTCTCCAAGCAAGCTCGAGCGTTTAGGGTTTAGGGTTTAGGGTTTAGGGTTTAGAGTTTAGCCTAAATTCGAGACCCTTGCTTTTGGGCTCCTTTAGAGGGTTTAGGGTTTAGGTTTAGGGTTTAGGGTTTAGGGTTTAGGGTTTAGGGTTTAGGGTTTAGGGTTTAGGGTTTAGGTTTATGTAGGGGTGAAGGGCTCCTTTAAAGGAGCCCCTAAAGATCCCTATAGTTTTAGGGTTTAGGGCTTAGGATTCTTCGTATAGCTCGCCAATACCCAACCTTTAAACTTTTCGGGCTCTTATGATTTAGTAGCGATCTGAATTTTTAAAGTTTAACCTTTTATTTTCCCTGGCTTATTGGGGAAGTAAATAGAATCCAGCGGTTGACCTCTACTACGTGCACAATACTTATGTGATTAGGGTACCGAGACGTTTTCCGAGATTACATTGATTAGGGCAGTGACAAACACTACTGAGAATAAGCTAGAAGCACAAATAACCTTCAAGCAAACCGCCAATCCTCGACTCTCAAACCAGCTTCCCTCAGCACTGAAGCCATATACTTGGAGGTTCATGGGTAGTTATAAGTCGGGTTATGAGTAGGGTAACTACAACTATAGCCCATATTAGGGGACTTATAACCCTACTTATAGCTACCCATGAACCTCCAAGTAACCCTAAACCCTAAACCCTAAACCCAAACCCTAAACAGAACCTCTAACCCTAGACAGAACCTCTAACCCTACTTATAAGTACACATGAACCTCCAAGTTTCCGGAACCCGGAAAGACCTGAAGCCTGAAGCCCTAAAGCCTTGAACCAAAAGAACCTACAGCCCAATCTCCGGAAGACCACAATGCAGGACATATATTTATGGCAGAAGGATATACCCAAACCAAATTCCCTAGACCCTAAACCCCAAACCCTAAACCCCCTTGAACCTTAAAGTAAGACCCATTTTAACTAGCCATTCAGGTTTTGCTCGACTTCGCCAGCGCCTCCGAAGATGAAGTGAGAAGTCTGATCACTGCGGCCTCGGAGGATATGGTGTCCGAGGAACGCTGGGGCTAAGAAGTTATCTGTAGTGCACCCTAAACCCTAAACCTTGAACCTTAAACCCGAAACCCTGAACCCTACACCCTAATTCCTAAACCTTAAAGGAGGTATTTCTAGTGCATCCTACAGCCCTATCATCTTTAGCTCTATTGCTGCAGGCGTTTGCCTGAGATCAGGATAACAACCCTAAACCCTAAACCCTAAACCCTAAACCCTAAACCCTAAACCCTAAACCCTAAACCCTAAACCCTAAACCCTAAACCTTCAGTCCGAAACACCAAACCTGCGACCCCCAAAGCCCTAAACCCTAAACCCTCAAAAGGGGGACCCTAGTATAGAACAGCTTTAAAGGGGACCCTTACTTATAGAACAAGAACCCTATAGCACCCTTTAAAGCGGATCCTATTATGGGAATCCTATCCTACCCCTTTTAAAGGGACCCTTACTTAAACCCCAAACCCTAAACCTGGCAGGTGGAATCGATTCTTCGTCGCCCACAAGACCCGAACCTGGCATCGGCGAGCGGCGACAAGCCACTGATGGTTGCATCTGTCCATGGCCACACAGAGGCTCCTGGGTATGGGGTTTCGGGTTCAGGGTTTAGGGTTTAGAGTTTAGGGTTTAGGGTTTAGGGTTTAGGGTTTAGGGGCGTACTACCCTCATAGATCCCTTAGAGGGGCCCTTAAG